ATAGTTCCCATGCACAATAAAAATAACCATGAGAGGCATGCCTGGCATCTGCCCGCCTCTCCACTCGGGTGGGGGCTCTGCCGCGTGAGAACCCAGCAGCCGCCTGAGCTAACCCTCGGGAGCCGGACCCACACTAGACGCTGTTTCAGCGAGTCTAACTGCACACATGTGGGCAGCTTCATGACGACCCAGCAGGGATCTGGAAAGCCAGGGAGGCAGAGCGAAGCTCCCACGTGGAGATGCAGCCTGCGTAGATGACAGCTGTGTAAAGGGGTCAGCTCACAGCGTCGGGGCTACGGCTGGGGGCCCTGAGGCCTCTGGGGCTTCACCGAGGCAGGCAGCGAGCTCCCACATCAGCCCCAGAGGTCTCTGTGTGTCCCACAGAAATGCCACAGACAAAAAGATGCCTATAGGGACCAGCAGTTAGCATAATGGTTACATCGCTGGACTCACATAGTCGACCGTGGTTCGAGTCCTGGACCCAGCGGCTTAAAAACCTCATGCCGGGTGTATGTGTGCATGTGCCCAAAATCCTGAGGGGAGAATGGAGGAGAAGGGACTGTGTTGTGGCCATCCTCCCTGGGGGCTGATTTCTCACTTTCTATCTCTCTGTCTCTCCAGCGAGCACATGTGCCCTACAGTAAAACTCTCCCTTAACAACAACAAAAAGATGGCTACAGGCCCCTCAGTATGTTCAGTGGTTTGATGTAGTCTCACATGGCCCAGCAATTCCACTCCTAGGTATACACTCCAAAGAACGAAAAACACATGTTCACATAAAAGCTTATACACACATTCACAGCATAGTATTCACAACAGCCAAATGGTGGGAATAACCCAAATACCCATCAACAGGGGACCAGCAGATGTTGCGGTGGTTAAGGTGCTGGACACTTCCACATGGCCCACTGCGGTTCAAATCCTGGACCTGCTGATTTGCTTTCTCACTTTCCCTCTCTTTCTCTCTATGTGTCTCTCTATGGTCAAATTAAAATAAATAAATGAATAAATAAAATAAAATAAACAATTATTTGAAAAATATATCTATCCATCAACAGATGAGTGGACAGAAAGAATGTGACCTACCTACGGGATGGAATATAGTTTTGTCTTAGAAGAGATAAAGAACTGGAATGAAATGCTGTGGTGAACCTTGAAAATATGCTAAGTGAAAGAAGCCAGATCCAAAAGGCCACATATTATATGATTCTATTTACATCATATGTCCAGAACAGGCAAATCCATTGAGACAGAAATCAGGTAAGTGGGTGCTTTTGGCCAGGGGTTGGTGGTGGAGATGGGACTGGGCAGTCATAAATAAAGGGTATGTTTCCTTTTCTTTTCTTTTTTTTTCTGTCAGAGGGCACTTGTACTTGTCAGAGAGAAACAGAGACAGAGAAGGAGAATGAGAAAGCATACCCCATAGGCAATGGTCATGACACAATCCCTTCTCCGCCTCTACTTCCTTTCAGGATTTTGGGCAAGTATTCACAGATGCCCAGCGTGTTCTTCAAGCTGCTGGGTCTAAGACTCAAACTGCACATAGTGAGCCATGTGGGATCCAGCCACCTCAACCACCATGCCACATGGCTGACCCCCATCTTTGTCTAAGTAGAATATTTAGTCCATTTACACTTAATGGAATCTCTGCTATAACTGATTTAAATCTCCCATCCTATAATTTACCCCTTTTTGTACTCCCTATATGTCACATTTGCTCTGTTTTTTCCTCTTGTTGCCTTCATTTCAGGGGACCACACCAGGCTCTCTACCCTTACCCCTTTTGATGTGGCAACATGGAGATCTGGCCTATCCTATGCCTCCTTGCCTCTTAAGTTCAGAATGCCAGGTGCAAAACAGGCATGGTGAGTGATAAACAAGACAAAGAGTGACTGAAAGAACTGAAGCCTATATTTGGAATACCTCAGTGGCTCAACCTGTGGGACTAGATAGGATTCTCATCCCCAACCTAGCCTGAACCACACTGTCTCAGGTAGCCCTAGGTCATGGGGGCCCAAAGAGATAGAAGCTTTTCTTTATGAGACTGATCTCAGCAGATCTGAGTTCTAGTCTGAGTCTAGTAGCTCTGCCACTAACTAGCTGTGCAACCTTGGGGGAATCACTCTTCCTCTCTCAACCTAAGTATTTCTCGTCTGTTCAATAAAGAGTTTAGAAGATACTAATAGCTTGTAGTAATAACTAATACATGTTGAGCGTTTTCAATGTACACGTATGATTCTCTGCAATCTACATATATCAACTCACTCAGTCTGCACAACAACCTTATGAGGGAGGTATGGTTATTTTCCTTATATTTTCATGGGGACAACATAGGCATACAAAGGTCAAGTGACCTGATCAAAGTCACATAGCAAGCTCCAGGGTCAGGCCTCAAACCTGGCAGTCTAGCTCTAAGGGCAATGCTTTTAATTACTAAAACTTGGGTTTTCATTGCTGATCAATCTCAACCAAGGAAATTTCAGGAAGAGGAACTTCCACACTTGGATTCCACCCCCCCTCCTTTTCTTGGTTCCTACAGGCCTTATCAGTACCATACTTTATTCTCAGAGTTCTAGCCACACAATCTGATGTTCAGTCTCCCCGCCCCCAGGCCTAACCCCATCCTATCAAACATGTGGCGGAGAGCTTGTGTGGGACTCGGAGTTTTCTCAGACTAAAGAGAAAGGTCTGGGATTCCTTGGAGCATGCTACAAGAGGCAGACTCGGATTTAGACGGATGGAGGCTGCCGGATGGTACAAAGTAGATGCAACCCATGGGGGCCAAGCTCCTCTTTCCCCAGCACCAGCAGGAGGTCTGGAGAGAGGGCTCTAGATGACTCTTCCTAGGATGAATAATAGTTTAGGGGCTCCCAGCCATTCAGATCTGGGTGCCACCCAGGGTTGTGCACTGGTAGCTGTGTGCCTGAGAAAGAACCTCCAATCTCTTCCCAACACACTTAGAATAAACTCAGGGCTGGCAGTGGTGTGGTGGCTAAGGCACTGGACTCCCACATGGCCAATCATAGTTCAAGTCCCAGACCTGGTGACTTGGTTTCTCACTTTCCCTTTCTTTCACTGTCTCTGGTCAAATTTAAAATAATACTAATAACAAATAAATAAAATGAAATAAATACTTCTTTTAAAAAAGAAAGAGAATAAACTCTTAACCTCGAGCCCTAAGGGCCTATATGACCTGACTCTGCTGACCTTCTTAGTACCTCCAACCATCGCTGGGCCTTGATCATCTTCTGTTACCCTGGCTTTCTTGATTTCCCTCAAATGCTCATGCCCCGGGGCCTTTGCACTTGCCCTCCTCCCCCAAGATATCTCCATGGCTCAGATGTGACCTCCTCGGAGAGGCCTTCCCTAATAGCCATATCTGAGGAAGCTACCTGCCAGGTCACCCTGTATGCCCCGTGTCAGGCGTTCCGATGCCCATGTCACCATCCGGACCATGGCCCTCAATCTGCTCACACGCATATTCATCACCGTCTCCTCTGCGCCAGAACACGCACTCCACGAGGGCAGGGTGTTTGTCCTGTCTTGTGTATATCAAGTGCCCAGAAGAGCCTGACGGGGCCAGCAGGTGACATGATGGTTAATGCACTGGATTCCCACATGGCCAACCATGGTTCAAGTCCTGGACTGGGCAGCTTGCTTTCTTTTTTCCTCCCCCCCCGGGAGTGTGCGTGCCCTGTAGCAAATATAAAACAATGATAATAGTAGGTGGACCAGTAGGTGGCACAGTGGTTAAGGCACCGGACTCCCATGGTCAACCGTAGTTTAATGGATCTAGCAGCTTGGAACTCATGCTGGGCACATATGTGTGTGTGTTCAAAATCTCAAAAGGAGAATGGGGAACCAGCAGTTAGCGTAATGGCTATGTCGCTGGACTCCCACGTAGTCGACCGTGGTTTGTGTCCCGGACCCGGTGGCTTAAAACTCACGCCGGGCACGTGTGCGTGCGTGCCAAGATCCCGAGAGGAGAATGGAGGAGAAGGGATTGCGGCGTGACCATCCCCCCTGGGGGGTGATTTCTC